ATATATATATATATATATATATATATATATGTAATCATAGACCTAAATATAAAATCCTGAATAAAGTCTTAAATTGAAAATTTAAGAGAATGACTTTGCAACCTTGGAGCAAGTATATATTCCTTAGAGCAGGGAAAAAATTACTGAGGAAAAATGGTAAGTTGTATTCATCAAAATGAGATATTTCTGCCCGAAATAAGCCACTGGTAAGAAAATAGACAAACCGCAGTCTGGGAAAAATATTTGCAATACATGTCTGGCAAAAGATTCATATTTAAACTGCATATCAAACCATTCTATAAAAATTCTATTGGCAAACAATCCAGTTAAAATGGGCAAGGTCTTGCATACTTCTAAATAAAGATAAATAACGACCAATAAACATAAACAGGTGCTCAAAATCTTCAGTCATTAGGAACAAATTAAAGCTACAAAATATATAATTTTATAACAGTTGGAATAGCTAGTAGAAATATTGAAATACTTAATTTTGATCAGAACATGGACCAACTGGTATTGTCATTTCTACTTAGAAATCATTCAATAAACATAATAATAAAATGTCTAGTTCAAATAAATAACAAGTTTATTTGAAGTCCACAAAATATAATTCTGCTGACAGTACAAAAATGAAATTCAGCCAGCACATAAAGTGACTAAAATTTCTGAGTCTGTTTTCTCCTCATTTTCCATATTTTATTTGAGCATCAGATTTTCCTAGCTGTCGTGATTTCTCTGTGCCTCTAAAAGTATGATTGATACTGGGTTTTCATCTGGGAAGACCCAGATTCTGGTCTAAGCTTTTCATTGTTTTCTATTTTAAGTCCATACCTTCCACACCATCCTTTAATTTCCTTGGTTTTCTTTGTCCAATGTGAGTTTCTACTTTGCACCCTAGTGGCTGCAAGACTAGGGTTCTAGCATGGGAATATTGCATTTATGACCCTATCTTAATCTGTTGGACTTCCATTTCAAAGAAGGGAGTGTGAGCTAAGCAAGAAATGCTAAATGAATTTATCACAAATTTTAAATTCATAATGAGTTTATGTAGATTCAATAGAAAACAATTCTTTCAGATGCAAAGTATATTGCTTATAGTGAGAACAAAATGTCTTTTACTATTATCATAACACGTTTTATGATAATAAATTATAATAATTATAAATATGTTACTTACAAATCATATTGTATATTGGTTATTATAGATCTTTTATTATTATAATTATTTTAAAATTAACAGAAATATAGCATTATAGCATAGTGTGAACATTTTCATAAGTTCTCGATACTTTTCTATTTCTATTTTTTTTCTTTAGAATAAAAAGATATTTGATGCAAAGCAAATCAAATTTGGCATGTGCTATGTCTTTATGCCAACTTGACTTCTATATTTTGTAACTCCATATGAAAGGTAGAATATTTCAAATACAGCCTTACCAGTTATTTTAAATATGCCTTAGTCATATCAAGCTTATTGTTTATATAATAGAGGAAAATCTAGAATTAAAGTGTTTGACTCCCTAGAAATATAGTTTTTAATCTATGTTATCATCATTGGATTGATTCATTTGAAACTTATTCCTTGAGTTATAAAGTAGCTTTTAAGAGAGAAAGAACAGTGGATTCGTAGCTCTGGAGAAGATGGTTATGTATATAGGTGGGTTGCAGGAAATATTTTGACTATTAGAGTATAATTATCTGAAAGACTGGAAGAAGGCTGGATCTTAAACTTTATCTCAACACTTAACAAAATTCTTGGTATAATGCAGGCACTCATTAACCGTATCACTGTTATATAAACATCAGGTAGGGTGTTTGCTTGTTTCACTTGCTGTGCATATAGATAATAGAATATGTATTAGATGATTGTAATAAAAAAACTTAGATTTGGGGAATTATATATTCTTATATAATAGAGGAATTAATATAGACTTTAAAAGTCTCTTGACTCCCTAGGAGTATGGATTTTATTTGTTAGTTTGTTATGTTATAAAAAGTACTTAGTACATTTTATTCAATGTTAATTGACTAGTAAATGGGAAACCTGAGATTAGAAACAAGTCTTCTGACTGTATATGTAATTCTGTTTCCCAAGTTGAGTATAAATAAACATGAAAATACAGTAAAATAGTCAAGATTTTTCCCCAAAGGGGTCTTTATTGAAATTTTAACTAACTTCCAAAAATATCACACAATGCTACATTAATGTTAAAGAACAATATTAAAATATATTTTCCTTTGAAAACTACCCAATAGACACTAAGTTTGTTCACCAAAGAACCCAGGCATCATGTACAACATTTTGGAGCAGCCAAATTAATTTAACTGAGCTCTAGCTTCATTGTCTCAATAAATACATATTTATTATTTCTGTTGCAAATTCACTACAATAATTTTATCATTCTCAAAATAGCAAAATGTCTTCAAAATTGTTTTTCCTGGTTCACCCTTTTTCTCAGAAGCATTCAGAGACATGCTACACCTGGGAGCTTAATAAATTAGATGATATCATTTCTTAAGCTCAACTTGTAAGGTATTTCCTTAATTGTCCTTTATTTCTCAGCCTGTCTACCCTCATGTCTTAGAATATCCTCTATTCCTGAGAAGCTTGCTGACACTTAACTGTTTTCTTTGTTTATGTCCTATCCTTTTATACAAATCCATTACATGCTCATCATTTTGATGTCCAGCTCAAAATGTACCTAAATTTGAAATGAATCACCTGATTAACAATTACAGAAGACTTTGGGTTCCCATGGCTTAGCCTTATTTCCATTTTTTATAAGATCATAATTCTGCTTGCCAGTGTGGAACCATCCTCTTTTCTATAGTCAATCCATATGTTTCTAGTGAATCCAGTGATCCAGGATGTGGTGATCTGAACAAACCCTGAAAGAAGTGAGGTTTGTTCTGAGACCTGTATGATAAGAAGAATCAGATTTATGGAGACATGGGGAGAGTATCCTATGCAGAGATGGCAAGGGCCTAGCCTCTGAGGCAGGAGTGGATTGCATTTTGAGTAATCGAAAGAAAATGCAGTAACTAAAATATAGCATTCAGTAGAGGGGTGGTAGAGATGAAGCTGAACAAATTTAGAGGATGAGATCCCACTAGAAGCTTAAGTGTTTGGCAAATGGTTGAATTTTATGTGAAGTTAATGAAAGTTCTTGTAAGACTTAAAAAAAAAAAACAAACCTATATGATCTTTAAAGAGAGAGAGAGAGAGAGAGAGAGAGAGAGAGAATTTTAATATTTATTTATTTGTTTAGTTTTCGGCGGACACAACATGTTTATATGTATGTGGTGCTGAGGATCCAACCCAGGCTGCACGCATACCAGGCGAGCGTGCTACCGCTTGAGCCACATCCCCAGCCCACTGATGTATATTTTTAACAAATAATCTTGGCTGTTGAGGGTAGAATGTGTTAGGAATATCACAGTGTTAGTCTATTCTGAAGATCATGGGCAAGTCCTTCATGGGCATCTTCAGCTAAAAAAACAGGGACAATTGCTTGACAGAAAGAGGACCAAATATTCTTTGTGGGAATATCTTACTCAAGATGCTAGAACAGATTTTGGAATTGATGGGAAGAGATCTAGGACAACGGAAGTAACATAGTTTAATAAAGAAATAAAAATTAGAGAATGGCAGAAATAATTTGTACAGAGTAACAAAAGAAGAAAAAGAAAAATGGTCTTCACTGAGCCGCCTCCCTCCCTTATTGGTCTCACCCTTCCTTGTTCTTTCATTCTCGGACTTAATCAGAGAATGATCAGGCAAGGGCTAGCCTTGTCTCTTTCCTGTTGTCAAGATCACCTTCATTATTTGTTAAATGTGTTGAGAAAAAAGTATAATGGAAGTGAGGATTTGGACAATAAAAGAGGGCTCAAAGCAAGAGCTGGGCAGGAGAAAAATAACTAGAGCCAACGATTTGCCCACTTCTTGAGATATGCATCTAGCCATTTTACAAAATTTATTTAATTCTCTTTTTGCTGCCATCATCGGAGCATTCAGCAACACAATGTGCAAGGCAGAGAAGAAAGTGATGCATAAAAATTATTCCACTTCACAAGCATGTTCGTAAATTAAGAGCAGAGGTCTTAATAAAATTTTTCATTAAAACTAGGTACACATGGTTTCCAAATAATAATTAGGATGTTTTAAAAATGTGACATTCTCTCTGCTTATTTTATCTAATGTTGAAATCACTGTGTGTGAGACGGTTAGAACATTCATAGAAGAAGGAACAATATACATTGCTCAGCTTTGTATCTGAGACATCAAAGGGTATATTTGTATATATACCAGAGATTTTTGCTTCTTAATGGCCATTAACACAGGAAAATTTCAACTTTTCCACCCACTATTTTGGCGACTATTTTCTGATTTGCCTTAGCGCACTTAATCTGTGGTGCTTTGTAATGCTAGAGTGAATTCAAGAATAAATTTATGCCTTTGACTTCAGATAATTCATTGATTCTCTGAAAAACATTCCATTTTTGTGCACATATTTTATTATAAAAACAATAAATAATTGTTTTTCCCTTATACAAAATTTAATTCTACATTTAAGGCTACAGTCTACTTACCCTTTACCCACATAAATCTTCTCTCTTTTCACTAAAAGGTAACTACTCTTCAATTAATTTATGAAAATATCTAGCTATTTTCATTAATATTTAGCTTAATGAATTATATTCA